ACCTATATAATACCATTTGACTAGTTAGTAACAGTAACGGCGTACGTTTTAGCTGCTGTTCAGGTTCATGTTTTGTGCTCCGCAGAAATGCTGAAAAGTGAAATAAACATAATTGGGTTTTTTTCTTACTCCATTCAAGCTCAACCTGTTTGACTCATTGTTTGATGATTCAAAACCTAAAACTACAACGGTTACAGAACAGCATGTTTTTCCCCGTGGGATAGAGGAAGAGATCAGGGTGGGAGGGGGGTGTACCAATACCATATTATATCTGTACCCGTAGAATTATGTAAATTTAGATGACCACATTATGCAAGAAAAAAGCAAAATTATGCAAGTTACCTTAACGCCATTCGCGACATGTTTTGCCCTTTTTCAAGCAGAATTTTCATGTTTTATGTACAGAAAAATTGAAATCAGAACATATCAGTATCAGTAATAGGCCTATGTTGTGTATTCGGAAAGAAAACAATATCTGTCCCCGTATGCAAATTTAGAAGACCAAATTATGCACACAAAAAAGCAAAATTATGCAAAAATTATGCAAGTTACCGTAACACCATTCGTGACATTTTTTGCACTTTTTCAACTCGAAGTTTCATGATTTTCATGACTTATGTGCAGAAAAGTTGAAAGCAGAACATATCAGTATCAGTAATTTGTTGCGTATTTGGAAAAGAAAAGAATACACATCAGTAAAAAAAAAAACCCAACCAAAAATAATATTAATAATCTCTGTAACTTTCAGCTGTAGACCTAGATCTAGAGGAAAGAAAAATGTTTACTAAAAAAAATAATTTTTTTTTAAAAGGACATCTGGATCTCTGATGCTGGCACATTACTAAAACCAGGGACACCTGTCAAACATGAAACATCAGCAGACATGAGAACAACAACTTTTGTTGGATTGAAAACTTTAACATGCTCAAACTCAATGCTCAAGGAACAAAATCGCAACCCATAAGCAAGATCCTCTAACAAGGGAAATAACCAACTTTTCACTTAAATGAGAGTTGTTATGGTGATTACTTCCCTTTAGTCACATGGCGAGGCGTTAATTAAAATTGTTTTGTGAAAAAAAGAAGGAAAAAACGCGGATCATCCAAAATTATGCAAATGTTGCAGAATTACGTGAAAAAACGCGGCCGCACAATCGCATTATCCTACGGGGACAGCAATATATGCATCAGTACAAAAAAAAACCAAAACAAACAAAAAATATAATCTTTGTAACTTTCAGCTGTAGATCTATACATGGTAGCCTACATACTACATGTAGAGGAAAGAAAAATGTACAAAAAGAAAATAAAATAGAAGACATCTGGACCACTGATGCTGGCATATCACTTAAACCAGGGACACCTGTCAAACATGAAACATCAGCAGATATGAGAACAACTTTTGATGGATTGAAAAATTGAACATGCTCAGTCAAGGCTCAAGGAACAAAAGACAAAATCCCTCGCCCATTACAATTATTAGGCCAGCCAAGATCTTTCAACAAGGGGAAATAACCAACTTATTACTTAAATTAAACTTATTACGGTGATTACTTCCCCTTAGTCAACCGGGGAGAAGTTAAATATTGTAAAAATAATTTATTTTTTTAACATGAAAAAACGCGGGGAATCCAAAATTATGCAAATGTTGCGGAATTACGCGAAAAACCGCGGCTGCACAATCACATAATCCTACAGGGACAGCATATTACTGTAATTTTGACGCAATAAGAAAACGAATATTATAATCTCTGTTTGAAATTCTAACTCAACATAATATATATATGTGAACCTCGTAATAATGGATTTCCTTTTATAATTATAAATTAAAGTGTATGCAATATATATATATATATTATATATATATATATATATATATATATATATATATATATATATATATATATATATATCGACAATACCGTGATCTAGATGTCGTATGAAAATGACAATCTCGTTCTGGTCGCCATAACTAAATAAAACACGGGCTTTGGTGCATGTTCTCAGTATAGGCTACGTTTACCCACACACACTCACAAACTCCCGTCATTTAAACACCCCCACCCCCTTCTTTCTCTCTCTCTGTCTCTCTCTCCCACTTTCTGTCTCTCTCTCTGTCTGTTTGTCTGTCTGTCTGTCTGTCTGTCTGTCTGTCTCTCTCTCTCTCTCTCTCTCTCTCTCTCTCTCTCTCTCTCTCTCTCTCTTTCGATCTCTCTCTCTCTCTCTCTCCTGGTGGGTGGAGGGCACCACAGGTTGGTCCTACTTTTTTCCTTTCCCTTTTTTTTTTGCACTAAAAAAAGACCAATAATATTAAATATTATGTCGATATATTATATATTTTACACGTATAATATATAACATGTATTTAAATCTTCGTTGTCTAGACACTGGCACGCTGGTTTAGTGTTTAACCGCTCTCTCTCTCTCTCTCTCTCTCTCTCTCTCTCTCTCTCTCTCTCTCTCTCTCTCTCTCTCTCTCTCTCTCTCTCTCTCTCTCTCACACACACACACACACACACTCCCCCCCTCTCTCTCTCTCTCTCTCTCTCTCTTTCTCTCCCCCCCCCTCCCCCCTCAGGCTCGCTACGTACTATCTAAATTAGATATATATATTTACACACACACACACACACACACACACACACACACACACACATACACACTCACACCGCGCGCGCAAGCACGAAGGCACGCACCTACACAACATACTCTTTCACGATCCTGTCTGCGACATTGCGTGTCCTGCTGTTGACAATATTATGTAGTACCGTACATAATCATATGTACTTCCATTTGTTCAGGGAAGGAACTGGTATTTCAAACGTTTTCAAAAGAACAGACTTACGCTGATTCATATGGTGATACATGTGTGTATATGGGGTAATTTTTTTTCAAGCCACAAATGACATTGTAGGCCTACTTTTGCTAGCTAATGATCAGACCAACGTACGCCAGAAATGCTTTTTGCTGTGACGTGAATACATCAAACTACATGTGCATGGATAATGTAGAAGGAAAAAGAGGACACTGTACTGTGCACACTGTTGTACATGTATCGCCCTGTGCTTTATCTTCGTATGATAAACGCACACACACACACACACACACACACACACACACACACACACACACACACACACACACACACACACACACACACACACCACTACAGTCCGTGCCGGTTTTAAGCACGCCGGCCTTAAGCACGTTTCGGACTCAAGCACGCTAAACGGCTCTTACCGAATTTTTGCTATAAATTACACGCCTATAAGCACGGTAACTTCGGCTTCAAGCACGCTTCATTTACAAGACAGTCAATATTTTCATGATGACCCATCGAAGTTCGAACACAGTTTACATCGCAGCAGTGGAGTGTGTCAAGAGAAACACAAAGAACGCAAGCGATGGACACACACACTCACACGGGCGGAGAGGAAGGCAGAGAGATGCACACAGCCGTGTGTGCGGACATAGGATCTAGCCTAGGCCTAGGGCAAAGCTACACACGACCAAAAAAATAATACAAAGAGAGTCGGGGAGACGAGAATCGGAGGCTGGCTGCGATTTCACCTTTGACCCTCGCTATCCATTAATCCTGATTGTATATCACGCACGAGGTGGGATGAAGGCAGTGGTATGAGTGGCACAGCGGTCAGTGGTACGCACAGGCAGTGTGTTACAGTAGGCCTAGTGTGCTGTATCGTGACTGGCCGTATAAATTAAGTTTTCATTTCCCATTCGACCACAAAACAAAAACAAACAAGCGAACAAAAACTACAGTGGCGGGTGTCTAAATAATAGTGCACACTTTTGCGGGACCGCTGTAGACCTACTTACAAACAAAGGGAAATAGCACGGGGAATTTTCTACATGAAGATCTCTGGATTATGTCTATTTCGCACTTAAGCACGCTTCGGCTTTAAGAACGCTTAAGCTTTCTCCCGATGACCGTGCTTAAAGCCGGCATGGACTGTACTAGTACCAAAGATGCTCACTATTGAAGTTGCAGTGAATCTTTGCTAGTCCTACTCCTACTCCTAATTGAAGCTGCTCTGCTGCTACTACAAAAGAAGAGAATCTTAATTTGCACTACTACTACTACTACTACTACTACTACTACTACTACTACTACTACTACTACTACTACTACTACTACTACTACTACTACTACTACTGCTGCTGCTGCTGCTGCTGCTGCCTCTGCTGCTACTCTTGCTGCTGGTACTCCATGTACCGTGGCGGTATAGGCTTACTGTATTGTCGAAATCGTCGCATTACACGTGTTTAAACATTCTGTGAATGTTGCAGCAACTATGTGGCCAAGTTATTATACTTGCAATCATAAAGTAAAGCCTTGCGTTCAAATCACGTCATTGGCCCGATGTTGGGTCCTTGCGAAAAGCGTAACTTATTTTCTCCAATTCACCGAAGTGGGACCTGGCTGTAGACAGTCATTCGAAAGATCTTGTCAGTTTGTTATAGATAGTGTTTGACCGCATAATCAGCCGCTTGCACCGTATGCTTTCCGGAAAGCCGAGAGAGAATGTTTCTGGGTGTTGAAGTTAGGGTCTGCTGAGGTAGGCCTAATACGTAATTTAATATTAGGTATAATAAAGCGCAGACAACTTTCCATCAAAGGCTATACAATACTTTATCGTTATTGTTATTATTGTTGTTTTATTTTTGCATTATTGTTATTAAATAACTATAATAATAATAATAATAATACAACTAATAATAATAATAATAGTATTATCCTCCTCCTAGCCTCCTTGACCTTCTTCTTCTTCCTATTTGGCCTATTTTTTAAAAATATTATTATATTTATTATTATTATTATTATTAGATCTATTATTATTATTATTATTACTAAATCTACAGGGCCCCAAAATATTATAGCACTAAAAAAACTTGGATCGAATTTGTCTTTTCCACCTCAAAACCAGGCAAGCGGAAGCGGAAATAAACTATAGAAGACAGCCAATCTGCCTTCGCCAACTTCTTGGCATGTTGATCTTCTTCACTTCGTCAGCCATCTTGTAGATTTCCGTCCCTGATTTTTTGGCGGTGTCGCCTTCTATGACAAAACAACACCCAGAACCGCGGAAGATTCAATCCTGTCCTCTCACGAATCAAATAATTTGGACTTCGTTAAAAATCAAACAGTCTACACAGACGGTAAGCCGATGTTTTAGATTGTAGATCTAGATCTAGATCTATGACTATGATATCTCTAGAGAAATCTATCTAGATCTACATTCTAGATCTAGATCTAGATCTAGATCTAGATATAGATAGATAAACAGATAGCTATCTAGATCTAGATCTAGATAGAGTGTAGAGTAGAGTATTAGTCCTAGGCCTCTGCCTAGCCTATCCTAGATCTAGATTTTTATATCTAGAGTATAGAGACTTGTCTCTACGTAAGATTGTTAGCCTACTTGTGCAATGATACTGTGAATGTTGCAAGGTAACCTAATAATTTACTGTTCCCAAAAAAAAACTCTTGCCGACCATGTCTCTGGTCGGTCTACTTTTGATAAGGGCTGGGAGGGAGAGTAGTTCAGTAGAAATGAAACGAAGTGTGAAGTGTATACAGACCCGGTAACCGGGAACAAAGTCACAAAGTATACAGACCCGGTAGGGGAACTCTTTTGTGATTTCGGAGGGTTTCAGCGCCCAGACCCGGTAGTGTGTGTGTGTGTGAGTTAAAGAGAGAGAGAGAGAGAGAGAGCACGCAGGGGGAAGTGCTAGCAAAATGTATATAATAAATTAATATATAATATGACATGTCTGCCAGTTGGCAGGAAGGAACGAAAGACAGAGACAAACAAAGAAAAAAAGAATGCGAGCGATACACAGAGAGAGAGAGAGAGAGAGAGAGAGACTGCTCAATTGAAATTTATGACATTGTTCTTTTCTTCAAATTGTGATTCCTCTTGCCTCTAACTCCAAAACAGGGGAAAAACGATCGTTCATCGAAAAGACATCCGCAATCTTCATTTAGTTTTAGATCAAGAATCTAGATCTACAGTCTAGATCTAGGCTAGGCTAGCCTCGAAACTAGATCAATGATTTATAAAAATATCTGTCTGTCTAGATCTAGACCTAGGCCATAGATCTAGAAGAACCTAGTTCTACCCTGAGCCAAGAGGGTGCTGAAAGTTTCCGAAATCACAAAAGAGTTCCCCTACCGGGTCTGTATACTTTGTGACTTTATTCCCGGTTACCGGGTCTGTATACACTCCCAAATAAAATTGTTGACAAAGTGATTGCAGCTGCAAATGCTGGTTTCCTGCCGCCTCCTAATGAAAGATCAGTTTTTACATTTGTTTTAACTCTTGTCCTTTCATCCGTGCTGAGTTGCGAATCTTATCAGCAAATGTCAAATTTGTATGTTATGATGACTTGATATTCTCAGCAAAATGTCATTTGAACTTGAAGATTTTTTCTGGGATTTCTTCCCATACAAATTTATAATGGGCTCGCAAGACCAATCATCCGCTATCTAGATCTAGATCTAGATCTAGATTCTAGATCTAGATCTAGTCTTCTTGAACAGAGGAAGTAAAAGTTGGGAGTCACTTGTGACTCTTGCATTTAGATCTATATGGTGGCTTTTAACCCTAGATCTAGAAGCACTCATCGTTTCACCGGAAGTAACCCCCCCAAGAATGCCCCGCCGCCACGGCCGATCGGTTGTGTAGTCATGGGGGTTTGGCGGGGGGGATCAGCTGAGAGACCCGAGATGTAGGCTCTTGGACTCTCTCTCTCTCTCTCTCTCTTCTGGCGCTGTGGCTTCATAAACGGTCAGCGATGCCAACAGCACGCAGGAACTCAACACTCGCCCGGGGGTCCTTAAAAAGTGCTGAAAGTGGGTTACTGAAATGTCCCAGCAGGCGGGTTCTAGCACGATAGCTGGCAGGACACCTCAGGAACACGTGGTCCATAGTTTCGTCCTCCTCCTTGCAGGCTCGACAGGACGGATCTGGGTTGTCTGCTGGCGCAATTTTGTGGAGATATGATCTCAGCTTGGGCGATTTTCCACCAGTTCTCATTTGGGAGAGAAGCCGGCGGTCCTGTCGTCTGAGCTAGGCCTCAAGCTGGAATGACGGCGGCTGGGCAAACGGCAGTTTGGGTTTCGCCTCTCTTTTCCACTTTGCGCGGGTCGATCGGTGGATGACGGCTTTAGCTGTCGAGAAATCGATTGGCGTGTCAATCTGGGTAAGCGCTGTTGCTTCTTTGGCGATGCTGTCAACTTCCTCGTTCCCAGCCAGTCCGGCGTGGCCTGGAATCCACTGTAAGTGGATGGAACATTCAGAGTGTTGACAGAGGGTGTGCAGATGTTGCCAGATTGAGCAGGCCACCTTTTCCGATTGGTTGGTAGGGCCGTATGAGAGGCGCATGACTGCTGATCTAGAATCAGTGTATACATGGATGCGTGCACTGTTCGGAAGGCTGCCTGCTGTATGTAGTGCCACAAGCATGTCAAGCGCTGTGTCGAGAGCTACAAGCTCGGCCCTGTAGCTAGAACAATACCGGCCCGCAGGTACACGTTGGTCGAGTTCGGTATCGCCGGTCTTGATCAGTATTCCACTTCCTCCATACTCAGTACCGTGCTCAGCTGAACCGTCAGTCCAGACTTCTACATCGGGCAGGGGGAGCGAACGAATTGTAGCCTCTGCTGCTGCTTTCCTGACAGCTGGTTCATTAGCACGCTTGCAGTCGGCGACAAGATCGGTGCTAAAAGTCACGTTGTATGATGCAGCCTTCCACGGTTGTGTGGGGGGGTAAAACAACCAGCTCCTCACGTGGGTACGTATCCAGTTCAGTTTCGGCTACGAGGTTCTGGGCATGCTTTCTCCAGTTCGACTTGCCTGTCCGCGTGGGCACTGATTTTGTTGCAGAGGCTTTGCGTTGGTTCGTTGTAGGCAGACGCATGGACTTCTCGAATGAGATGGCAGTCAAGGCATCAGCTCTATGCCTTAGTGGTAAAATGTCTGCTTCGATGAGGAGGCTGTCCACACGAGTATCCTTTGAGCAGCCTGTGATGATTCTTGCTGCTTCATTCTGCTTTCTTTCCAGTTTCTGCAGATTGGAGGGTTTGGCAAGAGGCATGTAGGCAGGGGCACAATAGTCGATAGCTGACCGACAAGTAGCATAATATATAGGCTTTATGCATTCCCTGGAGGCACCCCAGGTGGTGCCTGTAAGGGCTTTCAATGGTCGAAGTCTGCTTGACAGTTTTAACTCAAGGTTTTGGATGTGGGCGTTGGAGGATAGAGTACGATCAAGTGTAACCCCAAGTAAGGTGGGGTTGGAGTTGAAGGTGATGGGGGAGCCTTTGAGTGAGAGTGCTGGTTTTCGCTTGGCCTCGTGGGTGCTGGTGGTGAAGAGGGTGCACTCTGTTTTCTCAGTACTGATTTCCATCTTGTTTTGCTTTGCCCACTGCTCAAGTAAGTTTATGGCTGCTTGGACACTGTTTTCAGCCTGATTTATGTCTTCGTTGGTGGCGTATATTGTATAGTCATCAGCATAGAGTCCCGTCTTCACGGTTTCAGGCAGGCCTGCTTCAATATCATCGATGAAGACAAGGAACAGTGTGGGGGACAGGACACTGCCCTGGGGGACTCCCTGCTCGAAACGGCGAAGCCTGCTTGTTGCGTTGCCGTGCTCGACGCAGGCGTATCTGTCTCTGAGGAATGAACCTATCCATTGGGTGATGCGGCTGGGAGTAGATTTCTCAATCATCTTCTCCATTAACCTCGTGCGCCATACCTTGTCGAAGGCACGCGAGAAGTCCACGAGGGCCAGCACAGTTCGTTTCAATTTGGGACAATATATTTTTTAAAAAGGTTGGAACAACATCAAATTAAATTACATTTCGATGAACAAAAATATATTTTTTTAACATCACATCAGAACGATAACAAAACAAATTAACACACCAACAAATTAAAACACAACAAAGAGGGAAAAGTAAAAGAGAAACAGCAATATATAAAGTATATTTAATGTACGTATGTTCTTCACATGAAAATAACAAATCAACATGGTGTCTACTAAGTGACAAAGAGACGAAGTGAAGCGGGATTGAAAATACTTTCGTTCTAAAAGTAAAGAGGTTCGGTTCCCTTTTTTTCCCCGATGATTATTCCCCTGGCTTTTTTTCTCCCTTTTATTCCCCGGTGGTGGTTTTTTTGTTTGTTTTTTGGTGAAAAATGCAAAAAAATGCAGCCGCGATTCGCGGACCAAAAAATGCCAAAAATCGCAGCCACAGTAAACGCAGATGCTAGATATTATGATAGGTTGTTGGTATGCTGTGACAGTGAAGAGCCCAGCTGTGTAAATGAAATTTAATGTGGAAAGCAAAAAAGTGCTTGTCAGTATAAAAAAAGCATAAAGGATTAAACAACAAGCATAAAAAAAGTTATCTCTGAAAATCGAAACGGGACACGCTTTGTTCTTGCCCGGAAGGAGGCTTCTGCAATTGGTTGATCAATGTATGAAGAATCTTACATGAGTACATGTTGAAGTATGTGTCTAGAAATGATTAAAGAAGTTTTAGAATACACCAATTTGCAGCACAATGTAATACAGTAGTCTCCGCCTAAGATCCCAGTGCTTAGGAGCACGGAAATGCAGGATCTTAGGCGACGATCCCAGGGAAGAATCTATGGTGACTCATGTTAAGGCTCACAATCGGTAAAATGGTCTCCCTCCACTCTAAAATGAATTGACGTGACCGCTTCGTGGGTTTATGACGTCTGGCGAGCAAAGAGTGGTTAACCTTGATGACCTATCACAGTGCATAGTGGCATGAGGCGTGCCATTTTCACTTATTATCCTATCATGAGTCTCAGGATCTACTTTTATCCAGTTGCCCCTCCACTTTACCTGTTGAAAATTTAGAGCTTTCCATCTGTGACCGAGTCCCCCCACCCCACCACCTTTGTCGTTACACACCATTACGTTGTGAACGCACCAATTAAAATTCCGTCTTGTCTCGCAAATTGGGGAGTAGAGAAAACTGCTGCAATGGTCAGGGAAGAGTCCACAGTTTGATGTGATCCCGCCTGGAGCGAACGTGAAGGCCCTACCCACCCAGCGAGTGATGTAAGTTCAGGGGGAAAGCTCAGGTGTGAGTGCGATGCGTGGGGAAAACAAACGTGTCGGTCAATTCACACCCCGATGTGATCCCGTCTGGGGCAAACATTGTATGTATCGCTTCAAACAGTTTTACAATGTGTATGTGGTCACATTCACGATAGTGGCTGATCTTTGACGCGACCAACAGTTTATTGATCTCAACTTTTCACTCTTGGTTGATTGGCTGTGCTCGCCCGGGTTTTTGTTCCGCAAATTATGATCTGCAACGCGGGATCTTAGCCGAATGCAGACCTTCAGAGTGAATCAGAGCGGGATCTTAGGGGTGACTTTTGTATAGTAAAAATTATGTTTTCTTAAAACAGGAGGATCTTAAGTGAACCGGGATCGTAAGCGATGGGATCTTAGGCGGAGACTACTGTACTCTGCAAAAAGTATTTTGCATCACTGTTTGAGAATGTGTATAATTCGTAAATACCTGATCATTTGATGTGTTCAGTGACAACATTTTTTATTTCCCCTCTGTCTTTTTCAGATCATATGGATGATTGGTAGCTGCAGGTGACCTGAGCAGACCAATCAGATCTTCCAAATGGATCAGCCTGGGATTTCATTGACTGATATGGCAAGTGCCATGGTATCTGACACTTTAGCATTAGAGCCCATTGATAAGGGTGAGGCAGGACAGAGTCCCCAGACAGCTGCTGCTAAAGTTCCTGTAAAGAAACCAGCAAAGAAGATGAGAAATTACTTGTGTGAGGTTTGCAGTTATCAGGCTCGGTCTAATTACTCCCTGAAAGAACACATGAAGTCTCACTCAGATACTAAGCCTTACTCTTGCTCTCAGTGTAATTATTCCTGCAACAGAGAAAGAAATTTAAGAATTCATGAGTTTACCCATTTGGAGAAGAAACCATTAAATTGCACTCTTTGTGACTACACCTGCATTCAGAATTTCCAGCTGAAAGCTCACATGTTGCTTCATGAATCAGAAACTCCCTTTGTCTGTAACCTTTGTGGTGCTACTTACAAGAAGGAGGCTGGCCTCAAGACTCATATGCTGAAGCATTCAAACATTCATAAATTTAAGTGCAAACATTGTTCTTACATGACAAATCGCTATGCTGACTACAGGAGACATGTTCTCATTCATTCAACAGCCAAACCTGTGAAATGCCCCTTTTGTAACTACTCTTGCATTCGCGAGTCCAGACTTCGTGCCCATATGTTGATTCACAGAGGCAAAGATGCCAACTTGAACACAGACCCTGTTTTAGCCAACTTGGAACAGCAGCTACTGCACTGTGAAGTCTGTGACTATGTGTGCACTGTGCCTTCACGCCTCAAGAAGCACATGAAGTCCCACACTGGGATTGGCCCTTACACCTGCGACGTGTGCAACTACTCCTGTGCTAAGGCAGCTGCTCTGAAGGCTCACAAGCTGAAACACAAAAGATCGGACCGCATCAATCAGACGGGTCTGTACAATGGTTCGAATACTGCAGAAAAGACGGAAATGATGGACGTGACCACAGCTGAGGGTCACATCAATGCAGCACCCTTAGCCCCAATGATGAATAACACGATGCACATTACTAATGCTGTTCAAATTGCAAACCCTGTACAAATAGCCGATCATACTCAGATAACGGAAACTGTTCACATCACTAATCCCATGCAGATACCGGAACACATACAAATAGGTGATCCTGGTCAGGTCACTACCTCAATGCAGATTGCCAACCCAGTTCAGATGGACACTGTTGCTGCTATGGCTGGCCACTCTCAGATGGAAAACCAGCCTCAGCTGACCACGGAAATCACCACGGTGGACAGCATCAACCAGGCTGTCATGTATGCTTCAGCTGGTGCCAACGTGAATGCCACTGTCATTGTGACAGGGCCTGCGCAACAGTGGGAGACAGCTGAGACTGACTGGGTTGCTGAGACTTTTGATGGCGATTATAATCAGTTTGCTCCATTTGATCAGTCGGTGATCACCACTGTGACGCCTGCTAAGGGCAGTTTTCTAGACTCCCTGCTTGCAGCTGTGAAACAGGAACCTCAGGAACCCCCTCCACCACCAAAACCTCCAAGGAACCATTCCACCTCCAAGATGTTCCACTGTGACGAGTGCGACTTCTCCTGTGACTACCGCTCCACTTTCAACAAGCATAAGAAAAAGCACTTGAAAGTGAAAAACTACAAGTGTGCCCATTGCGAATACATGTGCAATGAGCTGAGCCGCATGAAGGACCATCTCCTGATTCACACCAATGAGAAACAGTTTGCCTGTGAACTCTGTGATTACACCTGCAAGAGGAAATCGGCTCTGAAGATTCACATGAAAACTCATGAGACTGGAGACGGAAACCTTCACCGATGTACGGAGTGCAATTTCTCCTGTAAGAGCGCTCCTGGGCTGAAGTCTCATATGATGAAGCATCTGGGCACCAAACCCTATCAATGTGACATCTGTGGTCTGGCTGTGGAATCCACCTACAAGCTGAAGAAGCATAAATTCACGCATGGCTTGAAGCCATTCCAGTGTGAGTACTGTGACTACACCTGTGTGCAGCAACAGCAGATGAAAATTCATGTGCTGCAGCACACATATGATTATCCGTTCTGTTGCACTATGTGTGATGCAAAGTACAAGAAGGAGGACAGCCTGAAGGTCCACATTATGTCAAACCACCAGAACATCAACAAGTTCACTTGTGATCTGTGCAACTATGCTGGCAACCGTGCTGCTGATTTCCGAGAACATTTGCTCACTCACTCTGAGAAAAAGCCCCACCAGTGTCCTCATTGTTCATATTCATGCATCCGGCCCTCTGGTCTAAAAAAGCATATGCAGATTCATTTGAAGGGGAAGGATGTGAAGCCACTGAAAAAGAAATTTTATCGCTGTGCATTTTGTGATTTCAAGTGCACACGCACAGGACGCTTAAAAGCACATTTATCTAAAATTCATCTTGATCTTCCCGAGAATATGACATTTAGCATTGATATGTCCCAGTTACAGACCACTGCGTAATACAGAAAATGAAAGTTTGGTTGTTTACCTTTGATATTGTTGTATCATGTTCTAAGTACCTGAGGGAATCAGTAGCATACAAACTTTATAATTGGCTTTACAGGTGCAATGAGTTTGATAGGTTTTATTTTTTAAAGGCTCTGAACAGGTCACAACAGGCTGAATGCACACATTCTGTATAGTAACAAGAAGGCTTTTAGACATTGTCTGGTCAGAGACTTATCCTTTCAACTCAACACTGCGTCCATTACCCCACACCTGTTTGAGGAATGCCCAATACAAGACAGGCTCGCTCAGAGGAGCCAAATGCCCATGACAAGTCATTGATATTTTGAGGCTGTTCAACGGGCAGCTGCATTTTTGTTGTGGTATCCGGCATTATCAAATGAAGGGCGAGGAAGAGCTGCAGTTAAAACTGTCCATAATGATGACTCAAGATCACAGAGATGAGTGACCTCTGTAGGCAGGTGGCCTCTGTGGAGAGGGTCTGAGTTATAGTCACTTATTGGACTTGACAAAGTCAATCTGAAGTCTTTATTTTACTTTTCTTTTCCACCCCCATCAAAGTTGTTAGAACAGATAGGCCTGTATAGTTTCTTTGCACTGTACATAGATGCTTAGTGACAATTAAAAAGTACATTTTGAGGCCGACTTGTCATGAAAATGTCCGACTGTAAAAGCATTGGACAGCAACTGCTATGTACAGGTTAAAAAAATAAGAAAAGCGTAAAGATGTCACAGAGCAATGGCTGTAAGGAAAGGTGACGGCTATAGAGAGGTTTCACATAGGCAGAGGTATTCATCATGAATGTAATTGATCCTGTGAATTGACTTGACATTTCAGTTTATTTTTTTGTTTGTTTAATTTTTCAAAATGAGATTGTCACTTGTCCCCATTTCACTCACCTTTTATGTTGCTCTCCTGTTACTTTTGTAAGAGTGTCACAAACAGTATTTAATTTATTTGGTTGGTAAACAAATCTCTTCATATGATATCAAATATCAGGCCAGTTGTTATAGGGTTTCACATACCAACATACAATTCATCGTATTCATCTGTTTATACAGTGCCTACCTGTCTGCCAGCCAGTCAGTATGTTTGAATGTTTGTCCTTTTTTTTTTGTTTTTTTGGTGCAAACTTTGTCATTGTATCCTTTTTTCTTTCAAATAGTGGTACCTTGCATCTCATTGATCTGGCATTAAAAGCTAAAACTCATCAATATCACTAGATCTGTGCGTAAGAAATTCCCCCGCATTTTTATTTATAAAAAAATGAAGGTTCCACCAGAGGACAGGATAGGGGGGCTCACCACATGATGACTCACTGGAGCAGTGAAAGTTAGATCTGACATTATTAAATAAAATAATAATGAATCATTATCCTCTGCAAATAGTCCCTTGAACTCCCTTTCTCAACTGTCGACTTGCCCGCTTCAAATCTTCACACAAAAAAACAACTGAAACTAATTGGAAACTTAAGATAGACTTGAGCAGCTAACAACATCTGCGTCACTCTGTTTTGCTAATCAGATGGTGTTGTTTTTAGCAGAACGGGTACAGGATTGATAAAAAGTAAGCTTAGAATTTTTTTATTTTTTTTTCCTGATGAAGTATGCACCTAGTATTTTCAAATGCCACATTGTAGCTTCAAATGTACAATAGGCAGCTTTTCATTATGACCTTGTGTGCATGCAGTTTTAAATTTCAAATATAACATTGGTTTAAAGAGGGGGTCTCGTGGCCTAGAGATTAAGGTGTTGGCCTCTCATTCAATTTAATTCAAAGGTCCCGGGTTCGAATCCGGGTAGCGACCGAAAAATTTTCTTCTCTAAAATTGTCTCCTTTCACTTTCACCTCCTATCCTGCTCTCTAGCAATGTTCTGTCGTCTGCTTTCGTCTCCTCTTTCTGCCTTCACCCCTCACCTCCTTTGCCCACTCCTCTGGGCTCTTGACTCTTTCTGCAGCCTTTCTACTGGTCTGCTACTCCTTCTTACTGCTGTCTTTCAGCCACACCCCTGATCTTCTGGTAGGAAAGATCTCCCTATCCTTCTCGGACAGGGGCGAAAAATCTCGGAGGGCCTGTGTGCAAGTTGCACTCATGATTAAAGATCCCTTGATGGTCTAAAACCAATAGGAGTAGGAGTCGGCTTCGGCCGCCATCTGGACAAAATCCAAAATTTCCTACCAACTGAAAAAGTGTGTCCCACATACTCATATACTTTATGCAGTTGCGAACACCGTAAAACACTTTACCCCCCCCCCCCCCCCCCCCCAAACAAACAAAACAACAACATAATATTGTTAATTTTATGTTCAAATATTGCATTGCAACTTCAAATATTCTCATCAGTCTTGTTAGTCGCTTCTTTGAGGACGCCATATTTATTGATGTTTACTTTGAGAGACAAACAAAAGCGTATTTAGATCCAGACCCTTAAAAAATTGCCAAAGTTCCAGCCCAATATTGAGAAATTAGTTCAGAAGACAAGGAATGTCTTTATGAATCACATATGAGAGAGTTGGAGATTTCATGGAGCTTGCACACTCCGTCTGAGCTGTGCTAAGATGGAGGTTGGCTTCAGTGGCATGCAGGTCTATGGTCTATTTGCCTGCATGGTTTGCAAGGGAAGATATTTTCATGTAAATTTCCAGAGTACTAAACTTTTGTTTGTATATGACAGTCGGCCTTTCTCCAGCTTTGCTTCTCACTCTGCTCTCACTTCTGGTTTCATCTTTAATCTCATTATAAATTATGTTTAGGCTTCGTAACTTATATCTGACACTCGCTTGACTTGCCAGATTGTTTATGAATGGAAGCAAAGCTTTACCCATATTATGATACGACTTAGCCACCCATATATATTTTTTCTTCTCCTTTGAGTAACCATGTGCTGTGTGCAGTACTCAGTGAATATTTTTTGGTCTTCTTCACCATTTTTAACTTATGAGATCTTTCTTTTTTCTGTAAACTTGAAGCTTATTTTTATTTCTCCTTCATTGAGTTTCCTTTTTTTTTTTTTTTTTCACATTAGCCACAATGTTTCGGTAAATCTGGTTCATGGCTCTGTTGTGTGGTCATTTTAATGAAGAGCTTTCTTAACCTCATGTGAGAAGAATTTATGTGGTTGGGGGGGGGGAGATAGAAGAAATAATGCGCCGTTCCAAATTAAAGTATTGGGTAAAAATGATCAATTTTGGGTCTCAGGTAAAAAAAAAAAGAAGAAAAATGTTCGCAAACTGAGGTTTAAATCTTTTTTTCAGTTTTCAGTCAAAGTTTAAAATGTTTTCTCAAAACTTGTCTTTCATTTGTTAGATAATTTTCTTGCTTACCCTCTCCCCCTGCTATGCAAGATGTTCACTCACCACCCTGTCCACTTTTCAGGTAGCATTAACAGTAGACTAGAACTGAAATATATTCGCCAGAGAATAATAATGGCTGCATTTATATATGGCGCACATCAAAGTTCTACAGCATGCTCTATTTGCTTTACAAATGTACAACCATTACTACCCCTGCAGACCCTAGAAACCCCCCCGCGACGGTGCCACTGACTGAAGTGTCTTTAGGCCATTCCCAAAGGGGGGACATTTCTCGTTCATGCACAGTAGAATTGTAAATGGGCTGATTCATCGTCATCAAGTCATGCTCATAACTGCCTGATCTGCAACAGGGAACTGCTGCTTTTCCTTTCCTAATCCTTACTATTGTCATTTTTCCTCTACTTCTTTTGTATGTCTGTCACACTCTTGTGACCCACTATTTCCGGGGTGCCTTAATAGTTGAAGCAGACTTTGTGCTGTTGAAGCTAGAGAGCTGAGCAGAGTAAGTCTGATTCCCTGAAAGGACTTCTCTGTTAACATCCACCCCTCGCCTCTCATATGACCTTTATGCAGTTGCGAGCGCCGTAAAACCTCTATTAAAACTAAACTAAGACCCTAGAACACTCAGAAACGTTCTTGGCTTCCTAGGAAGCATGCAGTGAGGTTTAGCGGAGCGGGCAAACATTTAAAAAGTTGATATTGCATGCTGAAATGAAAATGTTAAACCTGCATTGGTAAGCACTATTTAATCGTGGGATCTTAGTTACAATTTCTGTGAAAAAAAAATTTTCATGCAGATAATTAGCACTTTCATTTTATATAAGATCTAATTATAATGTGTCAGATATACAGTAATTAAGTAATTTTGATTTTTTTTCTTTTCATCGGAGAAATGGTATTGAATAATCATCCCTGAAATAGTGAATAAACAGCTAATGTGCAAAATCCAATTGTTTGTCTATAATATATGAGAAAAAAAGTGGGCGATTGTTAAGATCGTCAATACTTTATGATTGTTGCCTTAAATTATAAATGAAAGCAGATGAGCATGTGTTTATTTTGCTTTTTTTGTTGTTTGTTTAGTATATTTTAATTTTAGACCTATATTTCTTTTCTTGCTTTTGTTCTCTTCTGTGGCAATAATAGCATAATTCATGCAATGTGCTGAATATCATAGAAATATTGTTGTTTTGTACTGTTCTTCTTTCTTTCTGGGTTTTAAAAAATAGTATGTTATGTAAACACTCTTTTTGAAGAGAGTTCCTATACTACTCTGTTCTTTGCAACGGTACCTAGTTTATGAGATGATTTGACCTTTCAACACCAACACCTGCATTGTTTAAATGAATATCACAGTGATATGCTGCTGAATAGCTGTCTACATCACATTATTTTACATTTGCAGCTTAGATAAAATTGATAAAAACAGGGCATTTTGGGTTACATCATGATCCGTTGCATTGGCTGTAAATTAAAAAAAAAATTTTTTTTACTGTAACAGTGTCATATTTCCCAGATTGGCAGTGCTTAGAAATAACTTTTCTTGTCTTTCGCTTTCATTCCCACTAGTTATTTTATGTCAAGGTATGAATGTTTCTGAATATACTCAGATGTGATGTATGTTTGTTTAAAATGTTTTGTTTGCTGCGCATATTTTTCTTTATTTTACGAAGGGTTCCCCAATGTTCTTGTCACTTTATCATTTTTCTTGTAAATTGTCGTGCACCATGTTTGTTGCCTCATGAAGTAAGCAAAAATATGTTCACTTTTTCATTCTGTCTTGAGAAGACCTGAATAAAATGAAGATTATTCCAAGTGAGCCTTTAAGTTATCTTACTTAACTTAATCATTTAATCTGTTTTTGTCTGTGTGTGTGTGTGTGTGTCTCTCTCTCTCTCTCTCTCTCTCTCTCTCTCTCTCTCTCTCGTCTCTCTCTCTCTCTCTCTCTCTTACTCTCTCTCTCAGTCTCTCTCTCTCTTTCTCTCTCTCTCTCTCTCTCTCTCTCTCTCTCTCTCTCTCTCTCTCTCTCTCTCTCTCTCTCTCTCTCTCATGTTTGTGTATAGGCCTACATTGCCTAACATGTACTTCAATTTTTTTTTCCTGTAGGCTATATATATATAAAGTATATTATTATGATCACCCTTTCAAAGTGGTTTGGGTTCTTTTGGAGGGGTATGGGATTACTAGTGAAGATGGTTGAGACCTCGAAAATCAAATGTTGTTTCTGAATTTTGGGGTCATTGTCACTCAAAGTGTCGGTTATAAAGGCATTGTTTGTCATTTCTGCCTGTCTCTTGCTTTTTCCCTGCACTAGTAAACCTGTGTGGAAAAGTTTTTTAAAAATTTTATATATTATATATATACAATACTACAAACGAACCATCATCTTGTCTTATAGTGACTATGGGTGGTTTGCTCCTTTCCTATCAAGCATGATCTATAGTCCTTATTATTCTCATCCCCTTTGTTTTTGTTACGGTACGTCTTGTAACAACACTTTTAGTATTCGGCACGTGTATGCATGACCTTACTATGTTGCAAGAGCCAAGTACCGACGTCTATGGTGTAGTGGTAAATTGCTTTACTGTCACTCGCAGGAGACCCGAATGAGAAAAATTTGTATTGAGTATCTCAACCTCATCACAATCAAATTTAATAAAATGAATAAATATGATAAATGAATTTATAACGCGCCAGAATCCACAAAAGTGCCTGATCTGCGGCAGACATCGGCGATCATGGCCATGGTTCTCCATTCATTCCTTTGCTCGGATGCTCCTATTAAAAAAAGTCCCGCTACCCTGATCTGTTTTTGATCTTTACCCCTTACCGGTACCCATCTGTTTAGGTTCTCTGGGCCTACCCCTGTCTCGTTTGCCTTCAGTTTCGCCGGTGAGAGTGAGAGCTAGATGTTCAAGGCCTTTTTAGTCATCCCGGTTTCCCGGGTAGTGTGTGTGATGTTCTGAGCAACCATCTCTTCGGGGATTGGTGGTTAAGTTCTTATTTATATAAAGTTATAGATTTGTCACGTTGGGCATTGGGGGGTGGTTTTGAGGTGTGTGTGTGTGTGTTAAGTAAAAATGTGTGTGTGTTTTTTTAAAGTAAAAATGTGTAGACCTGTGACGATTAATTTTATGTGAAATGTTAATTGTGGCGTCATAACGGTAAAAAGCTAGATGTTCAAGGCTTTTATTCTATTTACTTGTCCCCAAAACTGTATTTTGTCTTTTCCTGGATGTTTTTAACAGTGAGCGTCCCATATGGGCTTCATCAAGTACTACCTAATTTAATTTATTTTCCTTCCTCGATTATCTCAGCAGCCTCCTGAGAAACTACCTTTCTGTTGTGACCTAGGTGATCTAAATTGTGTCGATTGGGGCGTAACAACACCTACGTTTGGGGAAAATGATATTTTACATATAATATTGTTATATTTTATGGAGGAAAGAGGTTCTCCCCAGAAAATGTGAAAGCGTCACAGAGGTCCAAAATCGGTTGCATTCTCTTGACCAGAGGTACATTATATAGATCTATGTAAATTTTAAAAAAAGAGGGATGTGGGCTATTCTCAACAAAGCCGCTGGGAAAAATGCTTCGATCTCCTCGAGGAGAGATATTGAGAAGCTCTAGCTGTTGAGTGGCTTTTCTGCAGAAATATATATGTTGCTTATTGCTGGAGGGTGTTGTCGTTTTCCCCCTCTTTTTTCCTTTAAAAAATTCAGATAATTCAAAAATTGTTTCTTAGGTGGCCATCCCACCTTACTTTTCGAACATCCTTTGCTGTTAATGTAGGCCGCTAGTTAAAGTGTACTCTCCACCAATATGTAGTTTAAACGGCTTAGAATCACCCCACTAACCTTATCATTGTTGGCCTTCTCAGTGATCCAAAGACAGAATATTATTATATAGCAGGCGCAGAGCAGCCATGATTCATAGGCTGTACACGCATAGCCTGTCCGCCCACTCTTGATTAACAGCTATCCGGGCACACCGTTTGCTCAGTTAGTATCATCATGCTGGACAATGGATGAATTGGTCCTGGTTCGAATCCCAGACACGGCATTCTTGAACTCGGGTCGTTTGGTGAAGTTTTCAATCAAGGCTCTCACTCTCAACCCAGTTTTTTTGGTCCTATCGCAGAAACGGACGTTAAATTCAGAGGTCTCACCTCTTTAGTAAACTAAAAGTGTTGATAGAGATGTTAAGTACATTCATTTAATTAAGAAACACTTAGACTTATGACAACCACACAGGGGGCCTACGCAGAGCAGTGAAAGAGAGAAATTCAACTAGAGCAATACATTTATTTAGGCGGTTGACTTGGCGTTTCAATCAACGGCTGCGAGCCTGACCGTCTACACTATTCGCCTTTTTTAAAGTACGCCACTAACTGCATACTGTAGTATGTTATGTGAACATGTTGCAGTGCGAAGCAAAATAATGTGTACCGGCTGTAGACTTGACTGTAGATTGCCTCCCGGAAAAATAAATAAATTAGCAGCTCAGGCTTGCTGAACAGTGCAAGCGTACAAAATTTATTTGAGCCAGAACACTAGTGTGATATCTAATGTTAAAAAGTACGATAATATTCGTAAGCAGAATTTTTTTCCTTCTTAAACCATGCACATGTATACGTACTGGTAGGTCTGAAAAAAAAATCTTCGCCGAACAGACAAACAAACAAGACAAGAAAACAAAGAAAAAAACTCCCGTCCAATCGTCTCGAAAACATCTATTACGTGCATCATTGTCATGTTGCTACTTTTGAGAAAACGTGAGCAAAATGTTGTTCTTGACAACGTTCACCTCAGGAAGACAATGAAAAGAAGATTCAGAACTTGGCAATGGTACTACAAAATCATAATAGCTATACAGTATGTATACATGCAGGGTCTACACAAAGAGATTATACTATATATAATTAAATTGGTCTACAGCAAATATAAGACAAGAGTAGATTTTGATCAGTCGACACCGTAACGTCAAAGTTTTCAGAGTTAATGCCCTTATGCATCTTCATTTTGACAAAAATTAGAAATCGTATACAAAAACACTCATTCATCGGGGAGTTAGGTTTAGGCCCGACAAAATGGAAGTGATGTGGTCTATTTTACTTCTCTGTTCATTTCTGTTTCTTCAACATTCGGCATCTGCTCAAGTTTGCAAAATTTCAAACATCCAGATCGACAGCGAGGATGGAAGACAACAGTACATTGAACTCAACCTCAAGAAGGTGGACGTGGACGAAGAGGGTTCTTGCCCAGGATGCAACCTAAGTGAGGACTCAAAGGCTCGGGCTTACCAGTACAGTCAGTGGACTGCTACCCCACCAACCTTCAACCTTGTTTTTACACCAGGGGAAATTATTCTTGAATGTGGTCAGTACAAAAATGAAATGTTTTATACTTTGAGTTTCTTTTAAATTTATGCTTCATTCTTTATTAATATTATTATTAATTTTCATTTTAAAAAACAACCAAAACATTAATCAATTAAAATTAATCATTAGACTTCGATCTCTAGCCTAGTTCTAAATTCTCTATAGATCTACTATAATTTATTACATATAGATCTAGATAGATAGATCTAGATGTCTAGAATCTAGAGGGATATTATGGATTATAATAGGCCTACGATGACGAATTTACAGCAGAAGCCAAAAATCAGAAGACAACATAAATCGAGCTTACTTTTTTCCACTGACAATCAGAGCATACGAAGCGACAGTGAGAAGATTCCCCAAAAACAAGTAATAAACAAACTGCTCACAAAAGTTGCTGCTTAGATCACGATAGGCTACCGGTAGTATGAAATTTAATTCTTTTACTTTCACTTCTATGGTCTCATGCTCAGGTTTTAATTTAAGCCCTATTCTTGTTCACTCTATCCGTTTTGTTACACGAATGTTGACTTTATATTTGTTATGAATTAATAGTTTTTGAAATATTTAATGGTTGCTATTCAAACTATTCCATCACACTAAGCCTAACTGCACAGTAATTTCCGCACTCTGGACCAATCAGGGGGTTTTAGAGGGGCGTGCCCCCATGAGGTGAAAGAAAAATCTGAGAGGTTACAGGTTTCCCTAATAATTTGATGTTTCGCAATTTTATGTTTGGGAATTTTCTTGAAAAGAATTGATTTGCAACAGTTCAGTTTTAGCGGTCTTTGTGATTTGCAGCAAGAATTATTGCAGTTTGACCCCCAAAGAAGTGCATAGATCTGTGTGCGGAAGTGAAAGTAGCATCGAGGCAAAATAAAGATCAGCAAAATACCTAGCTGACTAAACATCACAGTCACCAAATAAACATCACTGTTGACAACAACAAGAGTTCAAATGTCTGGGAAATATGTTCACCTAAAACTGAAAGATGGACAGAGAAATAGACATCAGAGTAAAAGGGCCAACAATACTGTGACATACCGACTAGCACCCATCACGAAACTATTAACTGTATGTTCAATACCTCACTGTGCTACCAAGCCCAAATATGGACAAAAACAAAGACCACCAAGTAAAATCAACACCTGTGAAATGAAAAACACTGAAAATCACAAGAAGAGACAAGGTGAAAAATGAGACTATCTAAGAACAAGTTGTCTGAACTCTCTGCATACAATACACAGATAAACGACAAATTAAATTTTATGGTTTGGGCATCTGTCAATGAATTAGATAATCTGAGCATCTGACATCTGTCAAGATAACCACCTGACAGTAAAGCAGTGAGCTCAAGAGCAAAAATCAGATGGAAGCGGACAGGCGATACAACAACATGAGAATGATGGTTGTTTCTCCCCTTGACACTTCAAAGTAACAGAGGCAGAAAAAGTTAAAGTAAATAGTATGAAATAGGTATTAAATTATTATTTTTGTATGTTACTCGCTGATTCAAAAGGATAGTAGTAAGCACAACTACTTGTAAATCGGGAATGGAGGGTGACTATACAAAAGTAAGTGATTACATAGATTAGAGTAATGGTAGGAAATATTAATAGTCTCATTGTCAGGCAAAATATCAAGATTTTTAAAAAGGAAAGAAAACAAGTATATATGGAAATATGTTGTAGTGAATGACAACATAATGTAAAACAATTTAACATGTTCACATTAAGGGATTCTTTTTCAACTTCCAACAATCACATTGTTGAAATTAATCAACAGAATTGTGTTTACCTGTCAACCCTAAGGTTCAGAGTTTGATCCCCACCAGCTTCAGGTTTTTCTCTTATGTTTTTTACACCCCCTGATCTTAGGGTAGGCCTACAGATAGTTGAGGTAGAATCAAGCACCTAGTCTTCTTGGATATATGGACAAAAAATCTGATGGATCTTTTTATGGAAGTTTCATTCATTAAAGATTCTTGGCAGTTATAAAATAAAACAGTGTAGGCCCTCCAGGCTGTTGTTTGGGCAAAATTAGAAATTGATTCTTATGTAAAACTGAGGCTATTTTAGTCAGTAAGAGATTTAAGAATACCTTTTATATTATTAAGAATCAACTGCTCTGTGGGAGGAAAATTTTATTGTTGATTACTCCCTGACTTCTAGCAGATTTATGAATAGAAAGGAGAAAAAGACATCCCCCTTCCTTTTTTTGGTGGTCTGCCGAGGCGGATATTAACTAAAAGATTGCATTTCACATTACAAACTTTTGTTCCTTATGTTCTGTGAAATAGAAGTTTTAAAACTTACAGGATTTTCTTTATTTTTTTTTACAGAAGAGATGCAATCTAGAGAGGATTTATTAGATTTTATTTCAAATTTCAAGAGATTATTTAGTGGGAAGTAATTGGATCAAGGTATCACTTCATTACAAAAGTGATTTATCTCTTTAAAGTTTGTTTTAATCAGACTCTTGTGCTTTAATTTTCTGTGGTCAGTCGTTCTGGCAGTACATTGTACTCTTTATTTTTCTTCTATATCCTCAGACTCATCAGACGGTTATTCGCCTCTTCCATTTGGCCTGTGTTCTAAAAGCGCTTCCAGCAAAGAGGGAACATGTGGAAGTAGCTCTTGCGAATTGAATGATGTAGAGGTAATAGACAAAGGCATATTGTGCAATTGACCTGTGGACCCTCCGGAATTTTTTTGTTGTAAATAGTCATATTGTATCATAAATGTATCCTCTGCAGGTGATGTGCACAAAAAGAAATATTGATTCGAAAATTTATGTCCACAGGGTATAGTATAAACTCAATGGCTCAATGTATACCTCCATGGTGTTACTTACTATGTTCATGACTCTTCTGAGGTGCAATTACAATAATGCCAAGTCATACTCACAGTAACTAAGAGATGTTATATTGTTTTCTCATTGTTAACACTTTTGTGAAAGCTCTGTGATATGGTTTAAAGATCTGCAAACATTGTGTTTGAAAATTCAGTACATCTCAGGAGGATTTTATCTCGAGATTTTGTGGATTTTGAGTCTGCTGTTGTTTTTCTTAAATAAATTTATGTTACAGCTGTTTTGGGTTAAGTACTGAATAGTATAGTTCGACTGAATCTGCCCTGTCTTCAGTTCACCACCTCAATGGAATCAGAATGTGATTATGTATGCAGTAGTTAATATGTGTGTGTGCCTGGTGAAAGGTACCAAATAACGCATTTTGAAGAATCCCTTTTTTAAAACGTTTTCATGTACCGAGATCATTTCTGAACAATATGCCTTTTGAATTTTAAAGATATTTTCAGTAGTTTTTTATGTATCGGTGATTTTGTATGGTAGGTTACGGAAACAACGTTTTGAGAAAAACGGCTTTTAAGTTTTCCCTTTGTTTCTGCTTCAAATAGATAGATCTACGCTTTGAGACGACCTGACAACACATTCACTACTCACATACCAACTTAAAAAAACAGAACAGCTTCAAAGTGTTTATATTCCGTCTTAAAACCAAATTCACCACCCCCTTGAGCAAGAATTTTTAAGAAATAGATCTAGGTTTGCACAGAGCAGAAAAAGGCGATACAAGTTTGCTCTCCAAAGAAACGAAAGGGTGTGGATGCGCAAAGCTTCGCTTTGTTTACATGTTCTAGATATTCATGCGCACTACCTGCCATTGGAGAGGGGAGAGACTGACCTAAATTTTGGTATGCATTGTGACTTTATGAATGAACAAGAGAAACCATCCGCAGTGTTTACTCGGAAAACCAATTTTCCCACGCATTTTTGGGGATTATGTAATATACCTCTTGTTAAAAAACATCTTTAAAAATGTATTTTAAATTAAAAGAAACTCAATTCTTTGTATTTATCGATATATTAATTTCTAAAGAATCCATTTTTAGTGGAACTTAGTTTTTGTCAAAAGTTCTATTTTTGACCTTTGAAGCCTGATATTTCGGTTCGAATAAATGCATCTTTTGGTACTTTTCACCAGGCACTCTCACGTATAATCTTGCATATTCCATATTTTATCTTCAGGATTTAGCAGAAGTGATAGAGGAAAAGAATCTAATCCCTCTTCGAACTGGAGATGAAAAACTTGATCACCGAATAGGTAGGATGTTATTTATTGTACCTTTAACAAAACTTTAATTCAGACTTTTTATGCTGGCGAGTCAAAACTGTATTTGATTTTTTTGAGTCATCACAATAGCATGATTGCAATATTTTATTGTTGTTAAATACTTAATGTGGCAGAAAGAAAATATTTAAGAATGATTGAATTGGGGGAAAATGTGAGTTTGTTAGGATGAAAAGTTACCTTATTTTGCTTTGAAGGTTTATTTTATTTAAATTACGATAAAAAAGCAAACCCCAACCTGAAAGACCTGAATGAGATGCTGTTTGCAGACCACCAAAGCCTGGCATATGAGAAAGAAGAGCAACTTTAAGAGCACACAGACAGGCTGATTACACGGTGTGAAAAGCTCAACATGAAAATCAGCAAAAGCAAAATTGAGATAATGAAGGTCAGCAAAAGCACCTGGCTACCTCAACATCAGCATCGACAAAATTCCGCTGAAACAAGTCAGCGAGTTCTCGTATCTTGGCAGTATCTTCTTGGAAGACAGACGTCTCAACAGAGAAATTGAGAGGGGAGTACAAAAGGCTAACAGTGACGGCTACCAGCTTGCCCCACTCCTCAAGCATCCTAACATCCCCATTGAGACCAAAGCTAAGCTTATTAACTCTATTTTCATCCCCATCTTGACACACCAATACAAGACATGAACCTTGACCAAAAGTCTGGAACACAAGATAACCCCCTGCAAGATGAAATGTATAGTGAGAGCCGTCAACAAAACCAGATTGGATGTGATTAAAAAACAACAATATCAGAGAAATGGTGGGAACAACACCTGTCCTCAACTACATTTAGAGGCATACAATCAGGTGGTTTGGACATCTGACATATGTGGCACCTCACCAGCTTGCCAGTAAAGCGTATTACAAAACGTTATCAGGGTATAAGGCAAGAGGGAGACCAAGGAAGACCTGGATCGAGGGTGTGAAGGATATCCTGAAAACACACAATATCCCACCCAGCCAGGCCATCCAGCTTGCTAGAAACAGAAAGCTTTCTCCCCTCAACACCCTTGAGGTACAAGAGGAAAGATAAAGTAAAGTAAAGTAAGAAGACTACATTCTTTTACTTATATATTTAGTGTGCTCCAGCATTTTTCATTTGTGTACTTTTATGCTGTATTGGTCTATTTCTGACACTTTGTTATACAAGTATGAATATTTGTTGTACGTTTTCCACAGCGAGGGCTATTGTTTTGCTCAACATTGGTAATGTTGACAAGGCTATTGATGAGTTTACTGCTGTAATAGAGGTGAGATGGAATTTATGTTTTTTGCTTTCGTGCTCTTATTTTTTTTAGACTTCGAGCAGGATTCAGTGCAGGCATATATTTTTGATCTGTTGAAATTTTAAATGTGAGCTACATCAGATTTTAAAAAAATTTTGAACTTGAGCTCTAAAATGAAGTTTATTCTAAATGGTAACACGAATATCTCTGTAGATTGCATGCATAGACAGAAGCAGAGCTGCCAAGTGCCACAGAAATTCCGGGACTGCCACGGAAATGAGTTCCCTGCCACGGAAGTTTGCAATTTTGTACCTATATTTAAAAAAAAACCAAAAAGCAACCCCCCCCCCCCAAAAAAAGCAACAAAAAAACCAAAAAAACCAAAACCAACAACCGAGATTCGTTGAAACCCGGGACAAGCAAATCGCAACACAAAAGGCCCAATTTGACAAAGACAAGTGACAGAGGCTGTTAATTTTTAGCAACCAATCCTCACAAGCTTACGGTCAGCTGACTTAAACAAAAGCCCAGTTTGCCTCGTTTTGGTACGATCGATACTCGGACGTTAGTTCTCGGAAAAGCCTCTACCAGTACCGGTATTGAGTAGACCTATCGGGCATATTAGATCTAGTTCTACCCTTGGCCCTACTCTGGGCCGACTTCACTAAAAGCAAAAGATCTGTATCCGAAGTTGCCTTTATATTAGAAAATGATATAATGTTCGACTAGACTACAGGAAGTCTTTCAGTTTATCTGTATGCTTTTGTTCTCATTGATTGCCTCCACAAAGACCGTTAGGCCTGTAATACCCTTCAGTCACGTGGTGGTCTCACTGTTTGTGAGTATTAATTCTCATACCCAAAGCTCTTTTTTTTAGCAGTGTGAGTACGCACTGTACTGGGTGTGTCACTGAAATCATGGAAATATGTCCCTGAAAAGGGTTTATGATACTTGGCAGCTCTGCAGAAGTAATGAAAATTTAGGCTTACAGAATATAGTATTCTCATACTGTGATTACTCTTTTATGTCATTCTTTCTTCATGCTTGTAATCAAGGGAATGGTATAGTCTTTTCACAACAATAATAACCTAAATTTACTAAAGAGTCTGTTCATTCATGTAGAAGTTTGTGAAGTCTTTGGCCATTTGTACTAAAACCTTTCAATTGTGAAACAAAGTGAAGTTTTGAGATGATTTTATTTTTGTAGTTTTTACATCTTAGATTTTTTTTTTTACCCCAACGATAATGATGTTCACTGTTTCTGTGTCCAGTCAGAACCAGGTGCTGCTGTGGCGTACTTTGGCCGGGGTGCGGCTTATGCCAGACAGGGACTGCAGGTACGGGGGGGTTTCCTTGTTATATTTATGTTAAGCTGACATCAGAACACCAAAAGCTGTGGGCCTCTTGAACTGATGGGGTTTAGTTCAAGGGCTTCCCCAAGGATTTTCTTAAACTTACAAGTGTATAGAGCTTGCTGCTGAGTGGGAATTTTGGCTAAACGAATGCTGTTTATTATTATATTTTAGTAATTATAACTAGAAGAAGCTTGGATGTTGTTCCTTCTCCTTTTCTCAGTCATTTTCTTGAGCCTCCACAAAACTTCTAGTTTTTCCTCTCGTATGGTTTGCTTTCTTAAGTGAGTGAGTATCTGTCTAATGAAAATAAGAAAACAATTTAAAATTTAAAATTTTACGCTTATTTGAATCACAGTTTGGGACAGGGATGTGGGACATGCATCACCCCTCCGAGATTTTCAGAAAACCTATTGTTATTGATCTTGTGGGGACCAATGTTGCTCCTTTTGTCGTACTTATTATGAGGGCTGTCAATTGCTTTCCAGTCTTACTGCCAGAGTGCATTGTGTATACCTTCAGAACTTGAAGTAGAGGTTGTGTTTGTTTCAGCATCCACTTGTGGCAAGACGAGCTCTGGCAGATTTCAACAAAGCCATACAGCTAGACACTGGTGGCTCCAGACCAGACATCTACGTTCATAGAGCAGAGGTGAGAAAGAATATGTACAATATTTGTTTCTTGAAAAAGAGAATTCAACAATTCGAGACTTCCTCGATCGTGTATTGAGTAGAGCAACTAATGAAGTAACATTTCCATATGCCATGTCAATTGTCCACATTTATAAATTAATGTTTTTGTTCCCTTCAAGTCCAGTTATTTTTTTCCCTCCTAAGGAACTGCCACAGCAGACAAGCAATTTAAAGTATCCATGTCGTTTATTCCTTGAAACTTTATTTTTTAATATGGAATGTATTTTTTTTTTCACCAGCTCATCTTCTTTACTTTCTCTTCATTTTTCTCTCCAGGTGTTGATGATGTTACAGCACTTTCATGATGCTTACAATGATGCCACAACTGCTCTAAAAGTAAAACCCATGCCAAAGATTTATTTTCTGAGAGGTGTCATAAGTTTGCTATTAGAGGTAAAGTGATTGTTTCAGAGATTTTGAAAAGAAATATATCCATGTTGTGTGCTTAATTTTTTTCAATCAAGTCAAATTTTATTTGTCTTTCCCTGAAAGTTTCAGCTTTTTTAGGAAAGAAAGATATTATTTACCCTTCTTGATTTTTGTCCTTCAACTTCACTTTTCTTTTTTTACTATAGCCTGTAGCTCCTTCAGGGGACTAGATTGTTTATGAATATTCATTCTCTTTCTTTGTCATCTGTGCATCCTGAAAATGTCCTATTGCCTCCTAAATTATCTAATTGTGTCAATGTAGATCATTAACAGTTAATTAATGAAAATGGCTTTAGGATCGTTTTGTGGTCTTTTTTTTCTTTTTTGTAAATGTTTTTTGGTGCTCGCCACTGCATAAGGTCATATGAGCGCGCAGGACTTTGTGGTCTTCATAACTGTCACTTTATGATAAAACTCATGGATGGTTCCCAAGTATAAATATATGTATGCAACTTTGTGAATATATTTTGACTTTTTAACCTTTATTTTTCCTATACAGAATTTTTCTGATGCAGAAAATGATTTCCGTAAAAATCTTCAATGTTCTGATGAGAAAATCCAATCATTGTCTCATTTTCACCTGGGCCTGGCCTTGTATTACAGAGGAAAAGTCAGGGTAAGTGATTGCCTTTGGCAGAGCTACATTACTTCCTGGATTTTTCTTAACATTGCAAGAAACTGTCGCAAGAAAAATGAGTATTTCTGATTGACTTTAAGTAAAATCATTGTGGTTACTCCTTTGTCTTTCAACAACGCGAATATGTAGTGATCATCTGGTGCAACTTTACATTTTGCCTAGCATGATTAGCTTTTCCATGAATGCCCTATAGATGCTATCTTATTTGGCTTTTACTTGTTCTCCCAGAAATAAGACATTCTGCCTGTAAGATTTATTTTTGAGGAGAGAATTACTCAAGTATTTGAATATCAGTATGAACTGCTCACAAGTTTGTTTAAATCTTTTGTCTCATTTGTTTAAGTATATGGTCTTTATTTTTTTTATGTAATCGAGTGAAAACCACTTTTTAATATTTTGCCGTTACATCTCGTCGATCGGTGATGTTTACCATCCAGTTTCTTTGAATTTCCCCAAAATGCCTTTGCCTTTGATAGCAAAGGTTTTTACTAAATTAGCCTTGTGATGGCAAAGTGTTAGGGATTGCTTGGGATCCTATTTTGTTCAATATATGTGCTGGCCAGCTGTCTATGTATGGAATATGAACAACTGAAGATTTTTCACCACTTGTGAAATCTCAGATTTAAAAAAAGAATGTGATGAATGATTGTGTCATTTTGCTCTTTTTTCTTTATCCCTTGACAAGAATGCCATAGAGGTGTTCAAAGAGGTGTTGAAGCAGAATCCTAATCACTTGGAGGCCAGTTTGAGTCTGGCCCAGGGTTTCAAGTAAGTGGAGAAGTCTGTGGTGGGATATGGGAGGGTAATGCCAGCTGATTCTCTTTGGTTCTGATGGTGAAAAGCAATTCCTCAAGGTGTATTGGCAGACATTCTGATGCACATCATACGTTCACTCACACACGGAGACACATGCACTCTTATACTAGCACATGTTTACCGGCATACATCAGTTCACATGCTCACAGGCACACACATATGTGCGCATACCCAAATTATGCACACATATTATTATATGCACTCTCACACACACAGGACACACTCACACGCAAACGTCCATAGTCATAGTCTTACAACGAAGCATGGGTGCGTGTTTGTATTTATCTGTAATAGACTCACACACACAGGCACACTTGTATGTACTCGCAACGACACACAGACAAATTCAGACACGGTGAGAAAATAGGGACCCTCACACGCTTTTCAAAGCAAACATTCTCTCATAAAAATGATATAACGATGTGGACATGAGGTATTTTTTAGATGAGCTTCTCAGTTTATGCAGCGTTATCCATCTGCATTTACTTCTTTCTGGAGAGATTGACAACATCACAGCCTTAAGGTCTTAAATTTGAAAGAATTTTAGAAATAAAAGATGAATTTTATTTATAATCTACTTTTTTTAAAAAGAGAGTTGGCCAAATTCTCATTTTTAATCAACTTTCCTTCAAATGACAGAGTATTTGAGAAATGAAAAATCTGTGCTACAAAAGTTAACTTCAAAATAGTATGCCCTCTGCATCTTCTCCTTTCTAACGACTTCCAATCAAGTAAAAGAGTATTTGAAAAAAAGAAAAAAACTGTATATAAAGAGTCAACTGCAAAATGAATCAATTATAATAATATGTGCACTGCATTTTTAAAAAAAATCCTTAGAGTAGGGCTCAGTTTCCTTTTTAAGGAATTTCAACAAAGTCATATTTTAAGTTAGTTCAGCATTATGCCCTGTACGGCTCCTTTGCAGAAAGTTGGCAAACATCATTTGCTTACCAACTTGCACACAATTGACATGGTATTTGAGAAATATAAAACATTATTAATACAAAAGCCTACTTGAAAATTAGGTCAGTGTATTGGAACAACATGGTATTGCGGAAAAGATTGTTCCACATTATAATAGTGCTCTTAAAATTCTAGATACAATTTTATTTCCTCAGCATCTTCCCTCTAGAGAGTAAAGCGGTATCACTTTCTCATCAACTTTTACACAACAACGGGTATCTGAGAAATAAAATAAGCCTATAGCTGTTTTAAAGTTCAACTTTAAATTGAATTCAATGTTATGTCGTCTGCATCTCCTTCTTTGTAGAGAGTTGGGCAACATCAAGGCAGCTCTGGCCAAGTTCAACACGACTTTGAATCTTCAGGCCAACTACAGTATGGTGTATCAACTGAGAGGGAACATGATCTTCCAAAATGGTGACCCAGCTTCAGCTATTCTAGATTTTCAGGTTTGTGTGGTTAGAGCTTTCTGTTGAAAGTTTAGTTTGATGGGGTTTTTTTGTTTTGTTTTGTAGGAGTGGGAGGGGCTTCTCTTGACAGCAAATCTCACAATAGCTGAGATATGAGATATGTCTTCCAGAATAATTGATTACCAGTTATCAGTGCAACAATTACAAATTATGCTTTTGCCTTCAGTCAGTTGATCATTTTTCTTGACAAGTTAAAAAAAATATGGAGAGCATCAATACTGAGACATATATAATGCTGAGAGATACTAATGTGATGTTGTGGAAAATTTGTGTCAGTATAGTGTTGGTATTAAAGTAATTGAAGTGAGTAAAACAATTTCTCCATAAGGATATCAACGGTTGATTCTTATTATTAAAATCCTAATGTTATGCAGACAAAATTTAATTGTTTACTGGTAATTTTGTCTCCTGCATGTATAGAAATGCCTGGAGGTTGACAGCACAAGTGCTGGCTGTCAGTATATGAAAGGAGCAGCCAATGTGATGCAAGGACGGTTCTATGAAGGGCTCAAGGATACAACGAAAGTGAGAAATAAGATGTTTGTGTAGTCTTTATACTTTGTCTGTTTTTTGGGTTTGTGTGTGGGGGGGGGGGGTTGTTTTGTTTCAAAGTCTAATGTTCCTCATAGGGACAACATGTGCTTTTAAAACACATCATTTCATAGTTCCTAATGGGACATGACCTCTCTTGTGCTTTTGTCTTGCCTCTCAAAGCCCAGTTGGTTCTCATTATAGGCAATGATGACAATCACAGATTTCTCTTTATCATGATCAACTGATTCAATGACATGGATTTCTCTTATATCTAACAACTGATTCAAACACATGAGCTTTTCTTTTACTTAAACAAATAACTAATTCAAACACATGGATTTCTCTTTAATACAAACAACTGATTCAAACACATGAATGTCTATTGAACTTAAAAACGAACAATTGATTCAAACACATGTATTTCTCTTTAAAAGTTAAGTAAACAACTGATTAAAATACATGTATTTAAAGAAACCCCATAAACAATGGTCCAACACATGTATTTATTCCTAAAAATTAAGTAAACAATTGATTAAAGTACATGTATTTAAAAAAAAAATGTAAACAATAGTTCAGACACATGTATTTATTCCTCTTAAACTTAAGCGAACAAGTGATTCAAACATTATCCCTCCCTATATTCCCTCTGTAGCTGATGGTAAGCAGTGCCCCGGTCATCAAGGCCTCTCCAGAGTATATCAAGGCTCACTATTTACGAGGTGAGCCCTCTCTCTGTACGAGAGACTTTCTTAGAGTGTCGAAAGAACTGAAGGCGATTTAGTATTTGTGGTCAGTTGGAGGGAGCATGTAATACATGTTACTTCATTCCTGTTTTCCTGTTGTTTCATTGTTATATATTGCCTTTATACTGTGAGACACAATAACCTGCTGATATGTTTCGTCTCCTTTACTCCAAGAGAGTTACTGTGAAGTTTCGTGAGTTTTCTGGGGGGTACACACCCTTCAATAGACACTCTAATTGTTTTTACTCATACAGTTAGATTCTATCTGTTGTGTGAATTCTCTGTGCTCAGTATGTGACTGGTTGGTTGATATCTGAGGTGGATTTTTAGTACTGTTATTTCTGTTAGTTGTATGACCCACTGCATGTGTGTTCAGCGTAATCTGAAAGAAAAACAAACGCAGTACAACTCTCTTACATTTTCATAGATGTCTACCAGTACGTTAAAAATATTTAGTGCGTTTTCAAGGGTATGCATTTTTGTGTGTTGTGTCTCAGTGTTATTTATACTTATGTCTGTGCTAGACTAATGGAAATACAGCCCAACTTGTCTTAGAAAACTTCCCATTGTCAAGGAGAAAAGTGGTTATCCTAGACGGGTGATCCTCTTGGACAGTGTCAATTTAACATATTATGATATATGCAAAGAGGGAAATCAGAAATGATAGTTTATACAGGTGATTGTCTTGGACAGGTGGTCATTAGGTCAGGCTCAACTGTTTTTTTTATCAGTGTTCTACACAGTCTAGTGGGATAGAAGGAAGTAAGAAAGGAAGGAATAAGAGGAAGGGGGGGAGACCCAGAGAAAAATGAGTATTTGACATCAGTGACTAAATTGGAATAGGTATCACCAAAACAGGGACAGTAAAAGAAAACAGCCAGGTACACACAATGTAGGATCATCAAAGATACAAAGTCTCAAAGGGATATGAAAAGATGATACAGATGAAGTCTATGGTAGATGAGACAATTTGATATATCACAAACTCAATCAAACACGTGACATCTTAAAATGTAATGTTTGAGGAATGGAGAATGTTTACTTGTTTTCTTCTTTATAAAGAAATTTATTTTTCATGTTTGTTGTTGGAGGGTGTCACTGATAGGTCCTAGCGGTACTCCTGTTTTTGTTTATGTATCTTGTCTTTTCTCTGCACTATCTGTGCCTTTGCTGTGTTGATGTGCTTCATTTTGCTGTAACCTAAACCTCTGCGTCATGGAGTGTATTTTTTCTTGGGCCCGTAGAGTATGCCAGGTACCTGCATTCCCGGCTGGATACCCCAATCACCTCGATACAGCCAGATGCCGATTTCAGTCCAGAATATTTGGATCACTGGGTCAAACTGAAGCCTTTTGATTTTAAAGTAAGTCTCTGAATCGCTAGAGGTTATCGTTTATAAGTTTTTTCAGTGTGAATGTGTTGCTTGAATTTTGCTGTCAGCGTGCTCTACAGTTTTCTCCCGGTAGAAGTGAGTAATGTTACGCATCTTCATAATTAAGATATTTTCATAAGGGCTTGACCACTTAAAAATGGGGCATTCTGTATAGTTTTTGGTTCAAGTCCATCGTGTCAATGTTCAGTTTGCACCATTCCTGTCTCATTATGTGATATGAAATATCTCCAAACTGAGACTTTCTTATATTTATGTTCTCGTGAGAAAACAAAAATTTCTTCAGAATTGGTAAAAGCAGGACGTGGCTGTCAATGTGTTAAGTGTGCTGACAAAACTGAGTTACTTCTCACAACATGCAAATGAAAATATCAGTCTAAAATCAACAGAGGTCAAATTTATAGATTTTCAACTGATGCCATTTTCTTAAAGTTCTACATATCTTTTATCATTTCAAATTAATAAATTGTCCAAACTCAACCTATACATTTGTCGAAGCTATGTCAATAGAACTAAAATCTGAGAAGTAACTCTTTTATTATCAGCACGTCTCTTATTTTATTCTTTTGGCAAGTCATACAGTGGTTGAAATTTAGCATTATTAGAGTCAGTGATAGTTGTAGAATTGATACATGTCTCTGTGGTTTGTTTTTTGGACCTTGTTTTAATTTTCCTTGCTCTTTTTACAGAATTACAAAGAACAGCCAGGATTACAGCCTGATGTTGGGTGAGTTTGACTAATTACTATGTGTATACAAGGGGGTAGTCTAAGATTTTTCTATGTTCATATGAGTAGTGGGAAAATGATTTGTTTGGAGGCCTCTATATGTATTTATAAATATGCATTTATCATTTGAGGGAAAGCATAAACTGTTGAACATTTGTGTGTATGGTGGAAAGGGGGCTCTAAGAAATTATTAGAATTTTTACTATGACTTTTTACTGCACTGTTATGTAGCTGTATTCTGATGTATATTGCTATCATGTCCATTGGCTTTTGAATACACAAAATGTGTCCAAATTCCCTAAATCTTGAGCATTATTTGTGAATTATTAAGTATCTCTTTTACGTATATCCACTTCACAATTTTTCTTTTCCTCCTGCCACGTCCAACCATTGTCCCACCACCTCTCCCTTTGTTGTTTCAGTCCTGCTTTGAAAATGATGAAAGAGCTCTCAACGCTCATTCTGCCCACTCCTCTCCACCCAACCCAGTGATGTGCAGAATTTAAAAGAAATTCTATCTCACAATTTCTGGTTTCCTCAAGGGATGTCCAATCTTTAGAAGTAATAAAAGAGCTCTGGCTTAACAATCGTCCTTTCCCGTTATCATAATGTCCAGACTTTGAAACAAATTTTACCTCACAATTTTGCTTTTCCTGCCGTAATATAAAATACATACCAACTCACACTTTGCTTTTTCCTGCCATAATATATGAAATACCAACTCACAGTTTGTTTGTTTTTCCAGCCATGATATAAGATATACCAACTGGCAATTTTCCTTTTCCTGCAGTAATATAATAGATATCAACTCACAGTTTTCCTGCCATAATACAAGATGTACGTTTTACTTTTTCATCCATTAAGCGTCGAGGGGAGATGCAGTTTTATATGGAAGGCCAGCTCCGCAGCTCTTTCAATTGGGATATTATAATTTCTCAGGGTTTCGTTGACTCCCTCAATTCACCTTTTTGCCTGGCATTCCTCTTCCTTTATAGCCTGAGGGCTTAGTGTTATGGGTCTCATAGCTGGCTGGCGAGGTAACGTTCATAACAGGTTGCCAAACCATTTTATTCTCTGTTTTTCTGACTCTGTGCCAATAGCTGCTCTTACTTCTTCATTTCTCTGCCTGTCTCATCTTGTAATGTTACAGGTTTTGAGGAGACATTTCATCTCGTATGCATTGATTTTGCTTTCATGGGTTTTACTTAATGTCCAGGTCTGGCACTGGTAGCATAATGTTGGGAAAAATATTGAAGTGATAAGCTGTCTCTTTGTGCCCATGGAGATGTTTGGATGAGATAGAAGGGGTGCGAGCTGGTAGGTGATAAGAGATATCAACTGATAATTTCCCTGTCATAATATAAGAGATATCAACTGATAATTTCCCTGGAGTAATATAAGAGATATCAACTGATGATTTCCCTGTCATAATATAAGAGATATCAACTGATGATTTCCCTGTCATAATATAAGAGATATCAACTGATGATTTCCCTATCATAATATAAGAGATATCAACTGATGATTTCCCTGTCATAATATAAGAGACATCAACTGATGATTTCCCTGGAGTAATATAAGAGATATCAACTGATAATTTTCCTGGAGTAATATAAGAGATATCAACTGATGATTTTCCTGGAGTAATATAAGAGATATCAACAGATGATTTCCCTGTCATAATATAAGAGACATCAACTGATGATTTCCCTGGAGTAATATAAGAGATATCAGCTCACAATTTTCCTTTTCCAGTGATGTCCAACCTTTAAAAGAAATCCCACCTCATCTGGAGCCCCTGCTGTGCCGGGCGGAGGCCTTGGGCCGGTTGTCTCAGGTCAGTGTGGACGGGATCTTGCCGAACCGACGCTTGAACCTGGCCATGGGGCTGGCCTCCATACATATGGCGCAGTATTTTGAGGTAAGTTTGTGCCATGCTTTGGTTCACAGATTTTTCACACCTTTGCTGTAAGTCACAACCTCTTATCTGCAAAGTATTGGAAATTGATTTTTTATTAAATAAATAAGAGGCACCCTGTTGGCTAACCCCAGTGGTAACAAAAGTTCTCCTTGACCTGTGAAAATGTGTGAAAATGTCTAAAAATGCCTTGTGACCAATTCTTTTTTTTTGTTTGTTTTTTTAGGGGGGGGGGGGGGGGGTTTCAATGATTTGTTGTAAGGAAAAATAATTTTTACTCCCGTATTAAAATCCCTTGAGAAAAAAAAAAGAGTGATTGCAGTTACAGTTTTGTGTTTTATGGAGATGATAATATAATGGTCGAAGCTATGGGTGATGAATGTGTCGGGTAGTAGGCTGTAAAGTTATTGTGACTTAGTTTTGTACTTAATCATTTTCATGCATCAACAAAGATTCTTATTCAACGACATGTTCCTTTAGCTGTTATTAGAAGGCCTCATGTTTAAGAAAGGTGAAAGTCTCTGCTTTGGATAACTGTTGGATCAGATGTAGTTAAGACAAAAACTTTAGTTACTGTAATGCAACAATAAGTATATGGGTGAAAGAGAGTGACAGACACGTTGGTAGACAGATAGGAAACAGGCAAAAAAAGGAATATAACTCTGAATTAAAATTATGATATTGCATAATTATGAGAGTTGTTTCCCTTCGTCAAATGACTTGCCTTTATTTTCAGGCTCATGATTTTGCTTAGTTGTTACAAGAATTTAATAAAATAGATTTACTCTTGTAGATTTTTTAATGACTGTTCTGATCATATGTTCTTAATGGTCTAATCAAAGATAATGGATAATAAATTCGGGCTGACTGTCAATAAAGAAGTAAAAATTGAATGTAAATTGTTGGAATGACACTTTTTTTTCCTTTCAAAATAGCAAACAGCAGGATAAACATAAATTATTTCAAGTTTATGTGTAAATTTTTTGGCTGGAGTCCATAACTTTTTGTGCTATGGCTGTTTTGGATAAATCAAGATGGTAGAAGTGGTAAGGATTTTGAAGAAATAGGACCTTCCAGTGACAGCCTCCAACTGCTCACTGTCAAAATTTCTTTGCATCTGATTAGACTGCTTGTTTATTATTTCACTACATTTATGTACTTTTTGTTTTTTGTTTTAGTGTCTTTGCTTTTCTTAGCTTTCCTGCGAGATCATGAATAGAATTCTATTTTCTTGTCTCATCTTTGTTTAATTAATTCTTTACTCGTACATGGTTGGCTGTTACTCTTAAGTATTCAGCTCTTTCTATTTCTTTCCTGTCACTTAAATATGTTTCAGGTGAAATATAGCTCTTATTGTGTCTTCTTGCAGTAATCTACAAGACATTTCCTTTTTCTTTCACTACTGTTTCAGATGTTCAAATTGTATTCAGCTCTGCAATAGTATATACAACTCTAAATCTCTCTTTTTGCACTGTTTGCACTGTTAGTTTAATTGGGGTCATGCTGAACTGGTTTGAATCTCCAATAGAGCATTCTTGAACTTAAGGAGTTGTCTGGGAAGTTTTTCAATTCTCTCCACCCGCATACCTTGGTCCTGTCAGAGACAGGGGGTGAATTCACAGGTCCTGTGCCTTTAATAACCTCATAGCGTTGAAAGGCACCTTAAAGCATGCCATTGGTTTGCTCCTTCTTTTATGTCAAACATCTTTCAGCCTTATCTCTCCTCCTTTTTTATGTTTGTCACTCTCTTGTAACATCTCTAACCGTCAACACTTTATGGTTTTGCAAGTGCCAAGTGGTACCTGGAGAAGAATCACAGAAGTTGATGTACAGAAAAGTGGGAAGACATGGAATAACATCAAGAGGCTAGCCCAGGATAGAAAAAGGTGGAAAGTGTTTGTTCGTGGTGCAGAGTAAGAAAGGCAATGATGATGATGAAGTGCCATAAAACTCTTACTAAAACTAAATTAAAACTAAACTAAAAACCATGCCATACTACTGTTCCAGTCATACTTTAAAAAAGTGAATCTTTCTCTTTCGATTCTCTGTGCAGACCAAGTGGAAAGCTGTGAAGGCGTCCAAAGCAGGTTCACACGGTGAGTGTGCTCTACCCTTTTGTTTTGTTGTTTACGGTAGTAAGTTTTGTGGCATCTGTGGCTTGGTGGTAAGGCACTTGGAAGGGCAATTGTAAGGTTGTGGGTTCGAATCCCAGTAGGGGTCCAACATTGTGTCCTTGGGAAAGGCACTTTACTTGAATTTTCCTCACTTTACCCAAGTGGGAATGGGTACCCAGCTATAGACAGCAAAAGATCTTGTGAGTTTGTTAGTGTTTGAGCGCATGTAATACGCAGCTTGCTCTATATATGCTTTCCGGGAAGCCCAAAATGTTTCTGAGTGTTCTTACCGTGTCTGCTGGGGTAATAATAGTTGAAAGGCTCATAGAGGACTGTACAGCATGAATTTGCACGATGTAAATGCAGTTATTATTGTTAAGTGGCCTCACCAAACCCAAAAAGTTTTGAGAAGCATGCTGTGGGAGATATGTCATGAACAGCTTACTGCTCAACAGCAGGATGTGCAAACTCTATGATGGTGGAACAACCCAAAATTATAATTGCTAGTGAGCAAATGTACATATCTGACATTTACTTTGTTGTATCTTTACTGCAGTAAAACAAAATCTTTCTCCTTTTCCTTTCCTCTAACTCCACTGAGCTTCATGCATTACTTTTGAATACTCTGGTTTTGACACATTATAGGAAGTGCTCTGAGAAAAATGAATAAATTTCCAAATGAGGTCTGGAACTAGAAGTATGAAGTTCAGCAATGAAACTTTTAAAATGTTGACTTGATAGCTAGATTAAATCCAAGTGAGTACTTTTTATGGCTTTCAAAGCCTATTCTATCAGAATACTATTGGAGTACTGTCAGAATACTGGTTATCTAACAAGCACAATCATTATTATTGTAAGCAGTTATTCGTCATTTCATCTAATGTGTGACTGTGGATCTATTTGTGAGTGAAAGCATAATATTATGTTTGTTTGTGTATATTTGTGTGGAAGAGAGAGGATGTGACAGAGTATGCATGTGGCATGTGTGTGTTGTGTGTGTGTGTGTGTGTGTGTGTGTGTGTGTGTGTGTGTGTGTGTGTGTGTGTGTGTGTGTATGTGTGAGAAACTTAAAATCAATGTCTTTTCTTGTCTTGTCCTGTCTTGTCTTGTCTTGTCTGATGTATCTTAAATGAGACCAACTTGGTTTAGTTATGATAAACTGAAATTAATAAACCAATCAACAGTATTATTTATTGTGAACTTTACTTTTACGTTATACTGTATGTCTACCATCATATGATGTCTATTGTTCCCACCACCCCTTCTGATACACAATCTTTACAGTCATCTCTTTCCACAGACAAAATTATTCACAGCTGGCGTGAGCTTTTCACAATAGGAGTACACTATAGACAGATTGCCAGTTTGGACCAGCCGTTTTTATGGGTTGATTCATTACCTGACTATAAAAGTAAAGATGGATACCGATCCGATGTACCGTTTGTCAGGTGTGTTCAGTCTTGTTTGTGTATTTGTTTGTTTGTGGAGTGGAAAGGAAGTTTGTTAACTCACATAATGGGACATATAGCTTTTCATGCATGGCAGCCTGAAGGGCCTACTCTTTTCAATTTTAAAACCGCCACAGCATTGTTAACATGTGAAAATGGGAGGTTGGCGGGTGCTCTGGTGTGGTTTGCTCCTTATTCCTATCAAACATCTATCGTCCTTATCTCCCCTTCTTCTTTTTTGTGTTTGTTACTCTCTTGTAACACATCTATTCTTTGGCACTTATAATGACCTTAATGTGTTGCAAGTACCGTAAAATTTTTAGAAAACTAAAAAACTAACATTTGAAACTTCCACGTGGAACATCAGAAATTTTTCATCCTTATCCGAGAAGACTAGGCGCTCGATCCTACCTACCTTTGGATTATGGGGTGTACACACCATAAGAAAAAAAAAAGCGAGGCTGGTGGGGATTAACATCCGGACCCTACAATTGACAAGCAAATACCATACTTTGTTGAGCTACTGAGTCCCAGTAGTTTGAACAAAAAGCAGGGTGACACAAACAAGAATTAGGAATGTCGCAGCAACAGTGATTTTGTATTAAAAGAGGTAGAATTTGTATTTCAGGCTTAGATAGGCTGTGTAAAACCATAGTTCAATTTGTAGTATCGTTCAACTGTTTACACTGACTGTAACAAGGATGACGCATTTTAATTGATGCTTTTGTGTGTGCGCGCGCGTGTGTGTGTATGTGTGCATGTGCACATGTGTGTATGAGAGAGAGAGAGAGAGAGAGAGAGAGAGAGAGAGGGAGGGAGAGAGAGACAGTCTATGCACATTCATATGTTAATCTGTTCATAGAAAAAGCTACTTTCTTTACTCCTTTACATTATTTGTTTGTGTGTGTGATCCCCAGGGGCTCGGTGAGTAACTCTAAAGTCAAACCGTACTTCGAGCTGGCGTTCAAACTGGCAAAGACAATGCTGGAGCACTACTCAGGGTGAGCATGTCCCCCATGGAGGGCAAAAACTTTACATCACCCAATCAATAATAATAATAATAATAATGATAATAATAGTTTTATTATTATAATTTATTTTTAAAATAATAATAACAACAACAACAATAATATTGTCAATAAATATAATAATAATAATGATAATAATAGTAATAATAATAATGAGAACAATATTTATAATAATATTAATAATAATGATGATGATGATAATAATAATGTTACATGTAGATTACATCTTTTACACCACTATTCGATAGCTCTAGGTGCTTCACAGTGAAATAGAATTTTGACAGCTTACATAATGACACATTTCACACATACTGTCTCATTCAATGTACAATAATCCTTTCAAATACATATATGCACCTGTAATGTGGGTGGTTGGCGGTTGCTCTGATGTGGTTTGCTTCTTCTTTCCTATCAAGCATCTATCGTCCTTATCTCCCCTTCTTCTTTTTTATGTTTGTTACTCTCTTGTAACACCTCTAATCTTCTGGCACTCATATGACCTTATGCAGTTGCGAGGGCCGTAAAACCTCTACTGAAACTAAAAAACTAAGCACCTGTTATGTTTCAACAAGTATGTTTTGACAAAAGAACACACACACAAGACAAATCACTGTGGGTGCTGATTGTTCTTGTCGTTGAAAGAAGAAGATAGACGTTCGTGATTGATTATTTATAATAACAAGACAAATTTAACCTTTTGGTATACATCAAGACTGTGCTTTTTATTCTTGCTTTCACTGTTTTGTGAAAGTTATTTACAATTAAGTGCAGGTTGAGCAGACTACCCATTTGCATGGTAGTTTATGTACATTTCTGAGTGAGTGATCAGTAGATCCTATTTTGGTGTGAAGAAGCTTTTTGAAGTCCTTATAGTGAATTTGGTTGATTTTGCAGGAAAGGTTTTTGGTTCCTTCCATCCCATCCCTGTGAGTGGTTGGAAGGTGTTGATAATTACTTCTTCTTTATTATCCCTCTGTTGTTTCTGTCTATTTGCTTAACTTTCTCCAAGCACAAAATGTGACCATTATCCTGTCAATGAGGTTTTCTTAAGTCTAACATCCTGCAAGTAGTTAGAGGGTGTCACAGGTTGGTACTTTTTCTTTACCATCCCTCTGTCTTTTCTGTCTGTCTGTCTCGTTTGTTCCCTTCACTACATGGCCTTTATCAAGTCAGTTTGCTTCACGCTCGAACCTCAGCTCAGTCCAACATTGTGTCCTTGAGAAAAACACTTTACACTAATTTCCCATTTTGGCTCGGTCCTTTCAGAGATGAACGTTAAACTCATAGGTCCTGCCTCTTAAATAACCTAATAGTGTTGATAGGGGCGTAAACCTATACTATTTTCACTTTACTTGAATAAGAGCCTGAATTTAATCAATTCCAGTGGGTGGTTGGCGGGTGCTCTGGTGTGGTTTGCTCCTTCTTTCCTCTTAAACATCTATCGTCCTTATCTCTCCTCCTTCTTTTTTTAAACGTTTGTTGTTACTCTCTTGTAACACCTCTAATCTTCGGCACTTATATGACCTTATTGTGTTGCAAGTGCCGTAAAACTCTTTACTAAAGACTAAATCAATTCCATTCCCAGGGAAGGCGCTGTACAATATCCTGGCTTGAAGGAAGATATTGCAAGGGCCGCCACTTGTGAGGATTTATTAAGTGTTGCTCGGGTGAGGAACCTCACATTTATTGTCTGTCTGTCTGTCTGTCTGTCTGTCTGTCTGTCTGTCTGTCTGTCTGTCTGTCTGTCTGTCTGTCTGTCTGTCTGTTAATCTGTCTATCTTTGGTTGGTAGTCAAGTGATAAGGGTACCAGACTTGTAATCATGAGGTTGCAAGTTTGGAGTTCGAGCCTCAGGCACGACGTTGTTTCCTTAGGGAAGGCACTTTACATGAATTTTCCTCACTTCACCCAGGTGAGAATGGGTACCCAGGTATAGACAGTGAAAGATCTTGCCTGGATTTGAGTGTTTTAGTGCCTATAAAAAATGGCAGCTTGCACTGTATTCTTCTCAGGAAGTTGAGATTGTTTCAGAATGCTGTCAGGTCTACCGGGGTAATAATATAGATCATAAAGCGCATAGAGCTTGCTGTTGAGTGGGAATTTGTACTATGCAAATGCTATCTATTATCTTTCCATTCATTTATAATTATATCTAGTCTTTTTGTTCATTCGTCTGTCTTCAATGTATCCATTTATCTGACTACCCATTGATCTGCTTTTCTGTCAACAATTTATCTTCTTCTATCTATTTGATTATTTCTCAGTCTACCTACCTATTTTCGTGGGTGGTTGGTGGGTGCTCTGTTGTGGTTTGCTTCTTCTTTCCTATCAAACGTCTATCATCATTATCTCCCCTCCTTTTTTTTTGTTTTTTACTCTCTTGTAACACCTCTAATCGTCGGCATTTATATGACCTTTTTGTGTTGCAAGTGCCGTAAAACCCTTACTAAAACCAACTACCTATTTTCCTACTCATGTTCCTATGTATCTGTGGGAGATTGGAGTATGCTGTTTCTGTCTGTCAACTGTTTTCCTTTTCCCTGCACAAAATGACCTTTATTTTGTTAACTTGTTTCTCTAAACTCAAACAATACTATGTTTCTATACTGTATGCCTGACTGTCTGCCTGTTCATCTGTTCACTTATCTGTGTGTTTGTCTTGTTGTCTAGATATGTTCCTGCCTTTCTTCTTTGTTCTCTTTGTACTTCCACTGGATTGAGAGATGAGAATATTTATCTAGTCTCTTCCACTCAAAAACTCAAAATGTATGGGTGGTTGGCAGGTGTTCTGATGTGGTTTGCTCCTTCTTTCCTATTATTAAAGGACTATTGTTTTTACCTCTCCTTCTTCTTATTTGTGTTTTTTACTCTCGTGTAACTCCTCTAATCTTCAGCACTTATATGATCTAACTGTTTTGCAAGTGCCATAAAACGCTTCCTAAAACAAAAAAAAGCAAAATGCTTATTTACGTTTTTGGTTTTTTTTAAAACAGAACACTTATCTAAAATTAAAGCTAAACTGTGCGAAGTGAGTACTTGATGGGTGCACTGATGTGGTTTGCTCCTTCTTTCCTATCAAACGTCTATCGTTTTTATCTCCCCTCCTTTTTTGTGTTTGTTACTCTCTTGTAACACCTCTAATCTTCTGGGGGCTCTCGTGGCCTAGAGGTTAAGGTGTTGGCCTCTCATTCAAAGGTCCTGGGTTCGAATCTGGGTAGTGACCGAAAAATTTTCTTCTCTAAAATTGTCTCCTTTCACCTCCTTTCCTGCTCTCTAGCAATGTTCTGTTGTCTGCTTTCAATTCCACTTTCTGCCCCTACCCCCTCACCTCCTTTGCCCCCTCGTCTGGGCTCCTGACTCTTTCTGCAGCCTTTCTACTGCTACTCCTTGGCTCCTCCTTACTGCTGTCTTTCTGCCACACCCCTGATCTTCTGGTAGGAAAGATCTACACCTAGCCTTCTCGGACAAGGATGAAAAATCTCGGAGGGCCCGTGTGCAAGTTGCGCACGTTAAAGATCCCTTGGTGGTCTAAAATCGATAAGAGTAGGCTTCAGCCGCCACCCGGGCAAAATTCAAAATTTCCTACCAACTGAAAATATTAGGTGTGTCCTGCGCGCTCATATGACCTTATGCAGTTGCGAGCGCCGTAAAACACTTTACAAAAACAGAAACAAAAAATCTAATCTTCTGCACTTATATGACCTCATTGTGTTGCAAGTGCCATAAAACGCTTCCTAAAACTAAAACCAAAAAAAGCAAAACGCGTATTTACGTTTTTGGGTTTGTTTTTTAAACAGAACACTTATCTAAAATTAAAGCCAAACTGTGTGCGTCAGTGTGCGTGTCAGTGTGTGTCTCTCTTACGTTTCAGCGACGACAAATCAACCCACATGGCTTCCTGGTGTCCACACAAGTGCCGTCCATGTTGAGGCAACAGGATGACCACCGGTTAGACGGAGGGGTCCTTGTTCTGACGGAGGACATGTGAGTCTACCTGTGTGTGTGTGTTTGTGTGTATGAAAATTTGTGTGTGTTTATGTTTGTAAGTGTGTGAGCGTGTGTGTGTGTGCACGCGCTTGTGTGAGTGTGTGTGTGTGTTGTAGGATCACCGGCTAGATGGAGGGGTCTTGGTTCTGACGGAGGACATGTGAGTCTACCTGTGTGTGTGCGTGTTTGTGTTTGTGCATTTGCGCACACCTGTGTGAGTGTGTTTGTGCGTGTGTCCGTGTTTGTATGGTGTGTGTGTGTGTGTGTTGTAGGACCACCGGCTAGATGGAGGGGTCTTGGTTATGACGGAGGACATGTAAGTCTACCTGTGTGTGTGTGTGTGTGTGTGTGTGTGTGTGTGTGTGTGTGAGTGTGTGTGTTGTAGGATCATCGGCTAGATGGAGGGGTCCTGGTTCTGAAGGAGGACATGTGAGTCTACCTGTGCGTGTTTGTGAGTGTGTGTGTGTGTATGAGTCTGTGTTTGTGTGTATGTGTGTGTGTGTGTTGTAGGATCACTGGCTAGATGGAGGGGTCCTGGTTCTAACGGAGGACATGTGAGTCTACCTGTGCATGTATGTGTGTGTGTGTGTGTGTGCGTGCGTGCGTGTGTGTGTGTGTGTGTGTGTTTTTGTGCATGTGAGTGTGTGTGTGTGTGTGTTGTAGGATCACTAGCTAGATGGAGGGGACTTGGTTCTGACGGAGGACATGTGAACCTACCTGTGCGTGTGTGTGTTTGTGTGCATGTGTGCATGTGTGTGCATGTTTGTGAGTGTGTGTGTGTGTGTGCGCGCCTGTATGAGTGTGTGTTTGTTTGTGTGTGTGTGAGTGTGTGTGTTGTAGGATCATCGGCTAGATGGAGGGGTCCTGGTTCTGACGGAGGACATGTGAGTTTATCTGTGTGTGTGTGTTTGTGTGTTTGTGTGTGTGTGTGTGTGCGC